AAAATTGGGGCCAGATCACCACAGGCTGTTGAGTACTGGAGATAATCTATCACGGTTACTCCATAGAATTTATTTCTTTCCCCTACACTGCTCTATCAGATCCCTCCTTCTCATCAATGCCTTGTCTAGCAGGAGGCAGATGCTCTTCTCACAAAGGGCGCCACAGAGCATGTGGCACCTCTGTATGAGAGGAGGGTCTTTTACTCCCCATATTTCATCATCCTGAAGAAGGGCAGAGGGCTCCACTCTATTCTCAATCTTTGGCTACTAAACATCTTTATCAGGAAACCCAAGTTCCATATGGTGATGCTGGCATCTATTATCCCCTCCCTTCCCCATGGGGCCTGGTTCGTGGCTCTTGATGTGAAGAACGCCTGCTTTTATGTGAGCATCCACCCAGCCCACTGGAAATTTCTCGATTTCCAGATGGGACAGCCCCACTGCCAAGTCTGAATCCTCCCTTTCTCCACAGATCTGAATGTCTTCATGAAGGTCTTCATTGTCACGGCAGCACAAATATGCTGTCTTGGCTACACAGTGTACTTCTACCTGGACGCTGGCTTCCGGTTGTGCTATCCCAACCAGAGCTTCCCTCCGCTATCCTCTCCCTTCGCAGTCTCCTGACCTCTCTGGGTGTCTAAATCAACTAGGAGAAATCGGTGCTTGTACTACACAATCAACTTAATTGGGATGCGGCTCAACTCAGTTGTGGCATGGACCTTCCTTCCAGCAGACCACTTTGCAACGCTGACAGCCACAGTTGTGGACCTCCATCACAATTCTCGCACTACGATCCACCTGGGACATATGGGAGCCTGCATCTCTGTGACCCCACAAGCTTGTCTACATGTGCACTGCCGCCATCAGTGGCTCTTCTCCATCTACAGGCCCCATACGGACTATTTGGAGTCCAGAGTCATTGTCCCCCAGACAGTTCTGGCCTCTCACCTGGTGGACCGACCCTTCCAAGGTCATGGTCGGAACCCCTTTTGTTATACCAATAAAATAAAAACCAGCAGGATCTTATTAAAGGGAAAAAGGCAAAATATCACATTTATTGTGAATACAGAAAGAATCATAATAACATTCCATTCAGTCTCATATTTATTCACACATTCATTCATACAAACACACACACAGGTTCTGCAAGGTTGTTATCATAGTTACCAGCCTTAGAGTTGTTCTTGCCAAGCCACTGGCCAGGTGGCCTGGACATGAGGAGGGAGCAGGGCCTTGTCAGATGCTCATCTGATGCTCCTGGAAGTTGGTTTGCAGAATCAGACCCCAAAGTTCTCACTTTTTAGAGTCTATTTTTATAGGAATTTCTTCCTATGCCAGTCTATGGGAATTGTTTCATCATGCTGTTGCTGAATCAATCAACAGATAGCGCATTCCTGACGGCTCCATGCTGCTAGATGTTATCTTGTTCTTTGGTTCTCCCATTCTTGAGGCTGTTGGGTGGATTCCAGTCTGCCCTCCGGGGGTCCTCTGGTTATTTCCACTTGACGCCTTCTTCAGCCGATGGACACTGGATTCTTAGGCTGGCACCTCCCTGATCATTCAGTTATTATCCACACCAAGCATCCATCCACATACGTCCTCTATCTCTATTTTAATCACAATTGTTAATACAACAAAAGGGCGGGGAGTCTCTGGGTGCTGTTTCTGTTGTTAGAGTATTGCTTTGGGTCTCTCTCTCTCTTTGAATTGCTTTGAGAACAGACTCTGTCTTAGAATGTACTAACACAATTAGCAGCTTGCAAGTTTCACACATAGAGGGAGAGAAACAGTACCAAAAACCAAGAGACCTCTTAATTAGTAATACCCTGGAATTGAAACTATGGGGAATCAAACTTATTTGTGATTTTAATACAGAACTTCTTTAATATGATCCAACACTTTCACTACCTCCACTCCGCAGGCCACCATCACAGCAGACCCCTTCCTCTTGGGATCAGGGGCCCACCTAGACTGTCACACAGGCCAGGGTATCTGGTCATTGCTGGAGGCCAGAATGTACATAAATGTTCTAGAACTGCAGGCAGTTTGTTTAGTATGGCAGGCATTTCTTCTTCAGATTCAGTCATGCCATGTTCAACTACTTTCCGACAACGTTGCAGCGGTTGTGTACATCAACAAACAAATCTCCATCCAGATCTCCATCCTTCTATTCTGAGTCAATCCACCTTTGGAACTGGTGCATCAGCCATCATGTGATGCTCCAAGCCACGTACCTCCCGGGCTCCCAAAATTCCACAGCCAATGTGCTCAGCAGGACTCTGTACCTCAACCACGAGTGGGAACTGCACAATGCCACTCTCTTCTACCTCTTCCGCAATTGCTCTGGGGAGCCATGGGGGAGAACTCACATTGTGACGCTCTTTTACTGTCCTGGACAGGTGACCTCCACTATGCCTTTCCTTCCATTCCCCTATTCCCAAAAGTCCTAATTAAGATTTGCTGGGACCGAGGTACCGTAATACTCATAGCCCCGTTCTGGCCATGTCAGTTTTGGTTCACAGACCTCCTTGGACACTTCACCCTAACACTTCTAGATCTCCTCATGCAAGATCAGCATCCCAAACCAGGCCTTCTTGACATCACCTTTGGATGAGGCTTGAGGGTAGACAAAGCGTGCTCCAGTGCAACACATCCTTACTCAAAGCTGGAGGACATGCAGAAGGGCCTCTACTGGGCTAAATGGAAACGTTTCACCTCATGGGCTCACTGCCATCACCACCAACTGAGTGCAGTATCCATACCTATCATCCTTGATTACCACCTTGGGCTCAAAATGGTGGGCTTTCCCCTCAGTTTTGTACAGGTCCACCTGGTAGCACTTGCCCTGCTCCGTCTGCCTGCCCAGCACCCCTCCTGGGGAGTGGAGTTGGGATGTGGGGGCTTGCCCCACTCTGCCTGCCCAAGGGGAGCAGGGCAAGCACCCTGACTCTGCTCTCCAGCAGGAGTGCCGGGGGGGAGAGGGGCAGGGCAAGCCCCAACCCTGTTTCCCCGGCAGGAGTGTGGGGGTGACGTGGCTGACTGCAGGCAGAAGGGGTGGGGGAGGGCACCACTTGTCCTGGCCCAGGGCCCCACAAAAGCTTAATCCGCCTCTGATGGCAAGGTGGCATTCCATTCACACATTCATAGCCCACTACGCTATCACCAAAGAGCGGCTGCAGACGCTGCAGTGTGCCACGCCATGCTACAGATACTGCACTTCCACTTTATCCTTGCACCCAACTCTGCGCTGCTCACTCATATTTGGAGTACATGTAGGGACCATCACTCGAAGAAGAAGAAGAAGAGGTAACTTACCTGTATTCCAAAACCTGCCTTCCACACCTCTACCACAGACTGGACTACTCAGCGGTATCAGGGTCACTGGAGAGGTGATGACACACACGGCTGCTTATAACCTTGTCTGGGAGCACGAGGGGATGCATGACAGACATGGGTCAACAGACACTGTTAAGAAAACCTTCTGGCACATGGCGCACATCCGCACCCGCATTTGGAATACCAGTAGGGACCACACATTTCAAAGAACCTCCAGTTACAGGTAAGTAACCGCCTCTTTCTTTGTTTAGGATAGACTTGTTTAACAACTTCTTGCTGACTTTTCAGTGCCACCTTTCTTGACACTGAGCGTTTGTGTATCCATCACATTGGTATTGACACCACACACACACACACACACACACACCCCGCAGCTTCTTCCTGCTCCCCCATACTGGTTAGATAGCTTTCACCTTATGGCAGGTTAGTCAGTTATCTAGGTCAGCTAGTGCAATCATGGAATCTAGAGACTAGAGGTGGAGTGAGGAAGATCAGAGTGCAGAAGTGGACGAGCAATTAATTTCAGCTCCAGTATCCTCCTCCTGATGACACTGTTTTAATCCATCCATGCCACCCATCAGATAATCTCAGAATCTTCCACGACTTTGTGAAACATGTAGCTGAGACCCTTTACACGGGAGGTGGTTCAAGAGAAGCCTAAAATTATTTGGTATTCTGCACCACACTATACCTGGAAATCTTGTAATGCTGATCAACAAGGAATTATTGGAGCCAGCTAAGGACCTGTGGCAGACCCTAGCCTCTGATATTATCTACATCTAAAAGAGCTGATAGATGATACCAATGCTTCCTAAGAGCTTTGAGTATTTCTACTCACATCAGGTGCCAGGATCTCTTGCAAGAAAAGTCTGAACAACAAGGATTTCCTAAGATGACACCAAGGGACAAGGACTCTCTAAAAAGCTTGATCTTTTCAGCAGGAAAGCCTGTTCTTTTATCAGTCTACAAATTCACATTGCCAACTATCAAGCGTTCCTGGCTATCTGCATTGGGGAAAAATGATCTGTCATAGTTTGTGGTGTATTGTGCTGGGTACTGTTAAATGGTTGCTACTTTGCTTCCAAGAAGTGACTGCATTTCAGTGGTGGGTGAAATGATTTTTTGTTTTGTGAATGAGTACATTATGTGGAATGGCCCTGATCCTTAGAAGTACTGAACACCTGCAACACGCATTGACTTCAGTGGGAGTTGCAGGTGCTCTGCTACTCTAAGGATGAGGTACAAGGTTTGTAAGGCTCCTGGGGATGAAATGTGCTATCCAGCTTTTAAGTTAATTGATTAATGGAATTTTTATTCAACACTGAACATTGTGCAGTGTGTATATAATGCTGACTTTATCACTGTTTCGGAGACAGTTTAATGTAACTTTTCCCGCCACAAGTGGCTAAAGTTGCTAAAGTTTCTTTTCAGTAATCTACAGATTTGCAACAGCTCAATGGAAACAAGTTTTTTCAGAGTGGTTTGTTACTTTTAATAACTTCAAATAGATATTAATCTGGGGCCACCTAGTGGTACACAATGGGTAATAATTGCTAGAGGTCAGTTTGGGATATGGAACCTCAATGTAACAAAACCTTTTGAAAGAAATAAAAGTAGCAGCCAACTTGTGGAAATAAGATATATATATATATTTATTTTTTTAGCTACAAAAAGAAAGATGCAGATTTGTCCGTGGCTCAGAGTCGCATTAAGGATCTTGAAGCCCTGTTCCATAGAAGTGAAGCAGAACTCAGTACTACTCTTAATGAGAAGCGCAGTTTGGAAGCAGAGATTGCTGACCTGCGGGCCCAGCTTGCTAAGGTATGTAAATGAATATTTTAGAGTTTACCTACATACATAGAAACACTCTATCCTGTTGAATTTGTTACTTTAGTTTACTGTTGTAATGTGTTGCACAGCCATACTAATACATCTACTAAGAGATTGATATGTGAAATACAGAGATTAAATTTGTATGTGTGTGGCTCTTGCTCCATAGAGCAACTCTGGTATGCAGATGCCTGTCTTTCTCAACTGGTTTATGAAACCCACAAATATTTGTTCATAAGCAAGGGCAACCTAACATTGTCTTGAGTAAAGTCTGGCGTCTCAGCACTGCTTCAGCACCATCCTTTTACATCATCAAGTACATGCAGAAGTAATACCCAGGCTGTCCCAATGGAAAATATTTAAAGTCTACTCCACGTATAAAGTATGGGGAGCTAACAATTCCCAGTTATGTTATCAGACGGTACTGAGATAAACATGAACTGTAGTAGGTGATACTAGCATATGAAAGTTGTTTTAAATGTAGTCACTGGTATTCTTTTGGGAAACTCATTAACTCTGTCATGGGAACAGACAAATAGTTGGGAACAGGCAGTTAAATTAAGGGCACTGTGTAGAGTTTCATAAATAGAGAACAAGGATGCAGTTGAACTTAAATGCAGCTTTAAAATTTTGGATTCTGAATTTATCACTAGGCAGAAGATGGTCATGCTGTGGCTAAGAAGCAATTGGAGAAGGAGACGTTGATGCGGGTGGACTTGGAGAATCGCTGCCAGAGCTTACAAGAGGACCTGGATTTCCGGAAGAACATATTTGAGGAGGTAAGATCAATCTGACAACTTAATCTTAATACAGAGTTTATGTAGCCTTGGCTCAAAGTGCTCTACAAACATTGACTAATCTTGTAAGTTAGGGAAATGATCATCATTGTCCCCATTTTATAAATAGAGAAACTGAGGCACAAAGCTGTTAAATGACTTTCATAAAGTCACGTGTTAAATCAGTGGCAGAGCTGGGGTAAACACCCAGAACCACCTGGCTCTGCACTTCTAGTTATCTTTGCATATAAAGTACACCACAAGATGAAACTCTCTCTGTATCAGATGAAGACATATCACATTGAGTGGAAAGGCATTTTTTCATAGTTTGAGAGTCTCTTTTCTGTTTGCAGCTGTAGGGTATTCCTCTAAGACAATTTGTAAAGTCGTTCTGAATTCCTGTTAGCCTTCTGTGTATGTTGCCCATGCATGCAAACATGTTGAAAGGTTATTTTAGCGCATCAGGAGACCACAGTTCTCTGGAGGGAGAGAATGTTTGAGTGAAAACAATAACGTTCAAGAGGATCACATTTTAGGTCCTTGTTATACTTCTGGGAAAGAAGATATATGTAGGGTTTTTTTTACTGTTAATTCAAAGTCTTAAATGAATAGGGCTCATCCAGATTGAACTCTTAAGTGCACACCCATATGAATTCATTATTTTCACTTCATTGTAACTGTTTCACAGTGTACCCATTTGTCAAGGTTCCTTCCCCACTCTGAACTCTAGGGTACAGATGTGGGGACCTGCATGCAAGACCCCCTAAACTTATTCTTACCAGCTTAGGTTAAAACTTTTCCAAGGTACAAACTTTGCCTTGTCCTTGAACCGTATGCTACCACCACCAAACGTTTTAAACAAAGAACAGGGAAAGAGCCCACTTGGAGACATCTTCCCCAAAAATATCTCCCCAAGCCCTACACCCCCTTTTCTGGGGAAGGCTTGATAAGAATCCTCACCAATTTGTACAGGTGAACACAGACCCAAACCCTTGGATCTTAAGAACAATGAAAAATCAAGCAGGTTCTTAAAAGAAGAATTTTAATTAAAGAAAAGGTAACAGAATCACCTCTGTAAAATCAGGATGGTAAATACCTTAGAGGATAATCAGATTCAAAACATAGAGAATCCCTCTAGGCAAAACCTTAAGTTACAAAAAGACACACAAACAGGAATATACATTCCATCCAGCACAGCTTATTTTACGAGCCATTAAACAAAAGGAAATCTAACGCATTTCTAGCTAGAGTACTTACTAATTTACAGGGGTTGTGAGGCTGCATTCCTGATCTGTTCCCGGCAAAAGCATCACACAGACCAGAAAAACCCTTTGTTTTCCCCCCCTATCCCCTCCAGATTTGAAAGTATCTTGTCCTCTCATTGGTCATTTTGGTCAGGTATCAGCTAGGTTACCTTAGCTTCTTAACCCTTTACAGGTAAAAGGGTTTTGCCTCTGGCCAGGAGGGATTTTATAGCAGAGTATACAGAAAGGTGGTTACTCTTCCCTTTATATTTATGACACCATTTTTACAGAATAATATATGAATCTCTACAGAGAGTGTCGTCTACCAGTGGGTTTAGTGTGTGTGTTGAGGGGGGAAGGTTTTGTGCTGCGCTTGTTCTGCTGTTAAAACTGATATTTGATCCTGCTCTCTCATTTGGTTAATGCAGCACAGAGTAGCCCCTTATTTTAGAATCTCTTTGCATTTTTTAAGTGAAGACAATTAATGTTTGAACATATTTATAAATTAGCTCCTGTAGAAAGGGACCAGATAACTTTATATCTGTTAAAACATTGAGCTCACCTTAACAGATCTAAAGTTTGTGTTTTTAACTGTGTTGCACTTTGTGAGATGCTTTCAATGCGCTGGCAGCTAAATAACATAGACATAATTAATTGTGGTGTAAAAGAAATTGATCATGTTGTTTACCCTAACTTGGACCTTTGCCTGCATTTTTGTTTATGTAGGAAGTAAGAGAGACAAGGAAACTGCATGAGCACCGTTTAGTTGAGATAGACAGCAGTCACCAGCAGGAGTATGAATCCAAAATGGCCCAGGCCCTGCAGGATCTGCGCAATCAACATGACGAACAGATCAAACTGTACAAAATGGAGCTGGAACAGACCTATCAGACCAAGGTAGATATTACCAGTATCTTAGTGGTCTACTGACTGTCTCATAATTAAAGGGAAAACTCTATCCCTACCTCAGGAAGCTTTCATGCTACTATGGAAGCACCCTGGGTAGCCCCATAGTTAAGGTAACACCAGGACGTTCTTTGTAATGGGACCTTCGCAATTTTCTAATTCCACCTTGAATATTTTTTGAAAAATGTATCTAAGTACACTGTTTCTCTGGGTTTCTCTAAGAGGAGGCAAGGTCACAGTAATGCGCCTTGCCCTTGAAGTAGAAGATGGGGAGGTTTATTATGGTTCGTAGTTCCTGGGGGAATTAATTCTGCAGTCTTGGTCTGGCCTTCGAGAAAGCTCTGTCTCCTGCACAAACAAGCTTTATCCTTCTTGTAGAGAGTCTCATTGTGTGAGCATCATAGTCTTCATCCCAGAGTTTTAGATAGTCTTTCAGATACCCTGGGCCCAGGCTCTTGAACACCTTGAAGGTAAGGACTGAGACCTTGAACTTGATTCAGTGTTCTGTGGGAAGTCAGGAGCCAGTGTTGCTGAGGTGTTGCATTCTGTACTAGTTGGAGTTTCCTAAATGCTGATGGCATCAGACCCAGGTGCTCATAGAATCATAGACTTTAAGGTCAGAAGGGACCATTATGATCATCTAGTCTGACCTCCTCAACAATGCAGGCCACAGAATCTCACCCACCCACTCCTGTAACAAACCCCTAACCTATGTCTGAGCTATTGAAGTCCTCAAATCGTGGTTTAAAGACTTCAAGGTGCAGAGAATCCTTCAGCAAGTGACCCATGCCCCACGCTGCAGAGGAAGGTGAAAAACCCCCAGGGCCTCTGCCAATCTGCCCTGGAGGAAAATTCCTTCCCGACCCCAAATATGGCGATCAGCTAAACCCTGGGCACGTAGGCAAGACTCACCAGCCAGACACCCAGGAAAGAATTCTCTGTAGTAACTCAGATCCCACCCCATCTAACATTCTACCACAGGCCATTGGGTATATTTACCGCATATTTACCGCTAATAGTCAAAGATCAATTAATTGCCAAAATTAGGCTATCCCATCATATCAAGCCCTCCATAAACTTATCAAGCTTAGTCTTGAAGCCAGATATGTCTTTTGCCCCCATTGCTCCCCTTGGAAGACTGTTCCAGAACTTTTCACTCCTCTGATGGTTAGAAACCTTTGTCTAATTTCAAGTCTAAACTTCCTGATGGCTAGTTTATATGCATTTGTTCTTGTGTCCACATTGGTACTGAGCTTAAATAATTCCTCTCCCTCCCTGGTATTTATCCCTCTAATATATTTATAGAGAGCAATCGTATCTTCCCTCAGCCTTCTTTTGGTTAGGCTAAACAAGCCGAACTGTTTGAGTCTCCTTTCATAAGACAGGTTTTCCATTCCTCGGATCATCCTAGTAGCCCTTCTCTGTACCTGTTCCTGTTTGAATTCATCCTTCTTAAACGTGGGAGACCAGAACTGCACACAGTATTCCAGGTGAGGTCTCACCAGTGCCTTGTATAACGGTACTAAAACCTCCTTTATCTCTACTGGAAATACCTCGCCTGATGCATCCCAAGACCGCATTAGCTTTTTTCACGGCCACATTACATTGGCGGCTCATAGTCATCCTGTGATCAACCAATACTCCGAGGTCCTTCTCCTCCTCTGTTACTTCCAAGTGATGCGTCCCCAGCTTATAACAAAAGTTCTGGTTGTTAATCCCTAAATGCATGACCTTCCACTTTTCACTATTAAATTTCTATTACTATTACTCCAGTTTACAAGGTCATCCAGATCTTTCTGTATGAGATCCCGGGCCTTCTCTGTATTGGCAATACCTCCCAGCTTTGTATCATCCGCAGACTTTATTAGCACACTCCCACTTTTTGTGCCAAGGTCAGTAATAAAAAGATTAAATAAGATTGGTCCCAAACCGATCCCTGAGGAACTCCACTAGTAACCTCCTTCCAGCCTAACAGTTCACCTTTCAGTATGACTCGTTGTAGTCTCCCCTTTAACCAATTCCTTATCCACCTTTCAATATTCATATTGATCCCCATCTTTTCCAATTTAGCTAATAATTCCCCATGTGGAACCGTATCAAATGCCTTACTGAAATCAAGGTAAATTAGATCCACTGCGTTTCCTTTGTCTAAAAAATCTGTTACCTTTTCAAAGGAGGAGATCAGGTTGGCTTGGCACAATCTACCTTTTGTAAAACCATGTTGTATTTTGTCCCAATTACCTCAATGTCCTTAACTATTTTCTCCTTCAAAATTTTTTCCAAGACCTTGCATACTACAGATGTCAAACTAACAGGCCTGTAGTTACCCGGATCACTTTTTTTTCCTTTCTTAAAATTAGGAACTATGTTAGCAATTCTGCAGCCATACGGTACAACCCCTGAATTTACAGATTCATTAAAAATTCTTGCTAATGGGCTTGCAATTTCGGGTGTCAATTCCTTTAATATTCTTGGATGAAGATTATCTGAGCCCCCCGATTTAGTCCCATTAAACTGTTTGAGTTTGGCTTCTACCTTGGATGTGGTAATATCTACCACCATGTGGATAAATTGGAGAGAGTCCAGCGAAGGGCAACAAAAATGATTAGGGGACTGGAACACATGAGTTATGAGGAGAGGCTGAGGGAGCTGGGATTGTTTAGCCTGCAGAAGAGAAGAATGAGGGGGGATTTGATAGCTGCTTTCAACTACCTGAAAGGGGGTTCCAAAGAGGATGGCTCTAGACTGTTCTCAATGGTATCAGATGACAGAACGAGGAGTAATGGTCTCAAGTTGCAGTGGGGGAGGTTTAGATTGGATATTAGGAAAAACTTTTTCACTAAGAGGGTGGTGAAACACTGGAATGCGTTACCTAGGGAGGTGGTAGAATCTCCTTCCTTAGAGGTTTTTAAGGTCAGGCTTGACAAAGCCCTGGCTGGGATGATTTAACTGGGAATTGGTCCTGCTTTGAGCAGGGGGTTGGACTAGGTGACCTTCTGGGGTCCCTTCCAACCCTGATATTCTATGATTCTATATCCTCATTCCCATTTATCATCCTACCATTATCCAGAAGCTCCTTATTAAAACTGAGGCAAAGTATTTGTTTAGATATTGGGCCATGCCTAGATTATTACCTCCCCTTCATCCCCAGTGTTTAGCGGTCCCACTTCTTCTTTCCTTGTTTTCTTCTTATTTATATGGTTATAGAACCTTTTACAGTACAGACCTGCTTAATGCACGAATCCGCTTAACGCGCGGTAGTGCCATGCCTCCCAGTGCTACCTATTTAATGAGAGACTCGTTAACACGCGGTACAGGAACTTGCTATGTAGCGCTACAGATTTGCTCACTGACATAGAAATCGACAGGAAGTGTGGAGCAGAAACGTGTTGTACGTCTTTACCGATATTAGTAAAGACGTATCACGCACGCTTAGTTATTGTCACACTAGAGAGATATATAATATATAGTAGTTATATAGTAATATATATATACACTACATTAGAAAATTTTGACTGGAGGCCTAATATAATGGCAGAGGGCAAGTGTCAGAGTTCCTACACTGTAGAAGAAAAGCTAGCTGCAATAGATGCAGTAAATAGCAAAGAAACCCAGGCCAAGGTTTCAAAAGATATTGGGATTGCCGAATCTACTCTCAGAGGATGGCTAAAAAACAAATCTAAATTGAACGGCTTTGTACAAAATATCGATTCTGCCGCGGGGCTTAAGCGAAAACGTGTGCGCTATTCAGGAAAACCCACAATATACAAAGCCACATGCATGGGGTTTGCTCAGGAAAGGCTGAAAGGAATGCCGCTCAGTGGGCCAATTCTTCAAGTTCAAGCGACAAAATTTGGAAATTTGACGGGGGATGAATCATTCCTAGCCAGCAAGGGGTTTATAAATTGTTTTAAAAAGCGTCATGGTATCATAGCACAGGTATCGATTTCTGGAGAAAGCCTATCAGCTGATGAATCGGCCGCGAACACGTTTCATCTGCGGTGAATGACAGATTTCATAAGAAAGGAAAAAAAAATGTGAGCCAGAAAGAGCAGAAAATAACGGCGTTTTTTCCTAAGTGAATCATAGACACTTTTTTCAGCATGGCCCTCTTAACCTGCGGTCTGTTAACAGCTTGACTCCCGACGTTCACTCATAAACAGGTCTGTACTGTACTATTGGTTTTAATTCCCTTTGCAAGGTCCAACTCTACATGGCTTTTGGCCTTTCTCACTTTATCCCTACACGTTCTGACCTCAATGAGGTAGCTTTTCTTGCTGATCCGTCTCCTTGTAGGCTTTCTGCTTTTTCTTAATCACCTCCTTGAGATGCTTGCTCATCCAGCTTGGTCTACAACTCCTGCCTATGAGTTTTTTCCCCTTTCTTGGGATGCAGGCTTCTGATAGTTTCTGCAACTTTGAATTGAAGTAATTCCATGTCTCCTCCGCCTTTAGATCCACAAGTTCTTCAGTCCAATCCACTTCCCTAACTAATTTCCTTAATTTTTTAAAGTTAGCCCTTTGGAAATCAAAAACCCTAGTCACAGATCTATTTTTGTTTATCCTTCCATTTAGTTTGAACTGACTTAGCTCGTGATCACTCGAATCAAGGTTGTGCCCTAGGACCATTTCTTCTATGAGGTCCTCACTGCTCACCAAAACCAAATCTAAATGGAAACCCCTCTTGTTGGTTCAGCAACTACTTGGTGAAGGAATCTATCAGCTATTGCATCCAGTAAAATCTGAGCCCTATTATTATTACTAGCACTTTAACTTCCCGGATATAAACTGAAGTACAAGTCTCCCATGACCACACAATTCCCATTAGTATTTACTTCATTATAAGCATTAAAGAGGTCTCGATCCATATCAGATCCCGGTGGTCTATAGTACACCTCAAGCACTATCTCAGGAGAGGCTCTAGTAGCTTTGTTCCCCAATGCGATTTTTGCCCAGACAGACTGTCTTATCCATTCCATCACTTCTTATTTC